AAGCGACTAAGCTCTGCCCCGAGTGGGGTAGCTACAAGCGGGGTTGAAACGGAGAGTGCAGGAAGTGTCCGCAGCATTGCAGCCAGGCTGGAGAACAATAAAGGAAGCCCCAATAAGACATGCAACAGCCCTGTTTTTAAAGCCATGACGCCAGCCACCCCACCAAAAAATATGGGCAACCGTAGGAGGACCGCTAGTGAATCTTCAACGTATGAAACGAAGCATGGCGTAGAAAACCCTGCAGATGAAAACGTCGGCCCTCTGAGGAACCAGCAATGTGCAGGTTCAACATCCTCACAGGAGAGCATACCTTTCGCTGAAGAGGGCAAGGTTACCATCAAACAAAGGACCAAAATAGCACCTGCTAAGATAGAGTGTGAGGCCGGTGTTGAAATTCTGAAGCCGGCACAATTCATCAAATCGTCCCTAGAGGTGCATGAGTTTAACTTAAAGGAATCAGACACGGTCAAAAGGAGACACAAGCCAAAGGAACTGCAGATGATAGGTCAGGGCACTAGCACGCAAATAGGAAATGAGAGGGCCACAGGGACCAAGATGGTCTCGCAACGCATGCAGAATGGTGGATTGACAAAAAATCCTTTTAAATCTGGCCTCTCTCCAAAACCAGGCTCTCCACATAAACCTCCCACCCCTTCTAAGCCCACACGCCATTCTACTGCAGCAACCTCAGGTAATGCAACCTGTTTGGCTTTTGTTTAATATTTTATTTTAAACACATTCATAACTACTTACAAACATACACTACCGTTAAAAAATGTGTGGTCTGTAAAAGTTTTTTTTTTTTTTTGAAAGTAATAAATACTTTCATTCATCAAGGACACATTAAATTGATTAAAAGTGACAGTAAAGACATGATGTTACAAAAGATTTATTGTTAGAAAAGATTGTGTAAGCCCATTTTACTTTTCTTTACATTTGACTAAAAATGTATTGTGCAGAACTCCATTGTTTTATCCATTATGATTGATTGGCTCCAGTGTTATTTTAGTATTTTTAAATTCTGTCATATATTTTATAACAATTCAAAATATTAATAAATACTATTATTTTAATATTATCAGTTTATAATTTGGTTACACTATTTCGATAGTCCACTTTAGACATTCTACTAAGTATACTGTAAGTAACTTTGCAACTACATGCCAGCTACCAGTCATTATTAGACTGACATATTATACTATGGTGTTAGTAGTAGACTGTCTGCTTAATATCTGCTAACACTTTATTTTGAACAGATATTCTACTGAACAGACATTCTACTGACTATAAGTAACTTTGCAAGTAAATGAAAACTTATTCTACTAACTTGTGATCCAAGGTTTAGGCTCTCTTACTAAATTATTATCTCCTCCTTTGGCTAAAAATGTCTTCAGGAGTGACAGTCAATGTCGCCCAGAGCGTGGCCTTTGCCGTTTCATCTCCCTGCAGTCCTCTAGCTCACTGTCCCCCAAGCAAAGCACCTCAAGGTCAGGCTGCGCTGGCAGGAAAGCCACAGGCTGTGACCGAAGGCCAGGACGTGTTGGTCCACAAACGACTTGAACAAACCAGCACGTCTCTCGAGGCAGCACTTAAAGTTGTGGAGAGAAAGTTGGCTCAGGAAGATCCAGCAGAAAGGTAACACAAACCACTTATTTTTGTCTCTTTGTATCTGTCCTCTGTCAAAGTAGTATTAAACAGCTTGAATCCCCTTTCACACAGTAGAGGAAATTGTGTATTTCAATGAGACAGCATTGCAGATGGTACCATAATGACCGAATGACCACTTGTCACAACAAGCCTGCTGGGAAATCTAGCAATAAGTGATCTCCCTAAAACTAGTGCCTGTTTTTCCTTTGACTCTTTGATCTGTCTGGCTGCGATGAAGACAGATTGTTGATGTCCTTATCTCATGGACAGAGACAGATGGTGTCTCAACAATTTCGACTTTCATTTGATTCCCCTCCTATTTTATCACAGCAAATCCACTGTCAGCAGTGTTGCTGGTCAATCTGTCTGCGTTGAACCTTATTTTGCATTTTGAACAGATTTAGCTCAAAGCATAGCATATGCTAATCAAGGATAAACCCCCCAGTCAGTGTGTTTTACATAAAGTAACCCGACTCCTGACTATGTTCAGATTGGAGTACTAATCTACTGTATACTGTGCTGTATACACTATACTATATACTAGACTTATATAATTATTGATATATGAAATAAAAGGGGTTATTATGGCTATATTAATGGCTAATATCACCTCCAGTTCATCTATCACATTGAAAGTTCAGGTCAAGTGCATCTCATTGTAGGAAACTGTACGCTAACATTGCATCGCCGACGGTCGCTCAAGCGCCTAAAAATCGCACACTCTCATCGAAATGTAAAAGGACGGCAGGTTGCTGTCAGTGTAAACACTCCTTTATTAAATCAAAAATGTTGATTATATGTCTATGTGGTGTTTTTAATATGCTTTAAGACAATGTGCAAATTTAACACCATTACTGAGTATTTTCTCATTAAAACTGCAGTGAAAAAAATCGCCGGTGTTTCTTACGTCACAAACTACCTTGTAACCAATCACGTCACGAGGGAAACGGGCGTTAGCATATCATTACTGTGCTGCGAAGCAGGGGAGTCTCAAGAGAAGCCCGGTATATTTTTCTGTTATTGAAAATGGGGTACATTTAGCAATATAGCTGGTGAATTATGTATGTGATGTATATTACGATATTATGATGAACTATATATGCCTTTCTCCACTGATGTTCAAAGCATTTCTAAGGATGCTGATTGGTAGAAGGCATCTAGTCTGACTCTGAGATGGTGAGCGCGAACATGGTTTGTGTAACATTAGCAACACATTATTAGCTGTTAGATAACGTAGTCAAGCCAAAGGCTAATCATATTAATTAGTGCTACGTGTCTGGCATTGTAGTGAGCGATACATAAAACTCATTAACATTCTGATACATCGGCATAGACGAGCCTGTATGAGTGAGTGGAGGCGGGGCTCATTTGCATATTCATGGTTCCATGTATACTAAATGATGCAAGGGTGTAGAGTTAAATTCAAGCTATTTTAAGGCACACAAAAAAACGTAAATATGTAATTTTGGTGATCAAAAATTAGTTTTAAGGGATAAAATTATTGACTACAGCGGGACTTTAAGACATGCACTCACAATACCTCCATATTAAACATTCTCAACCTTGTTTTTGCTCTTCTTTCTCTCAGGGGCATTAACACAGTAAAGTCAGCTGGGAACATTCTTGATGATATAGGGAACATGTTCGATGATCTTGCTGACCAGCTGGAAGCCATGTTGGATTGACCTTCTGTAATTCCTATAACCTTTGCATGGGGCCTTCACATGCGAGCTTCTGGATGATTTAGACATGCAATGTCTAACTTCTCACACTTTGTTTACAACACACCTTGGTGGTCCTGCTTACAAGTATTGGTTTTAACAGTTGAATTAAATTGGCTAATTTAAGATACTAGTTGCAATGACCTGCGGTGGATCCTGCCTCAAATTTCCACAAAATATCCACTTTCACATCTGTAATCTTATCCCAAAATGTTTCTTTCTGCATCTTCGGTTTGCTTGGACAGGATATCTGCAGTGAAGATTGCAGAATGTAAGCACTTACTGTTCAGATCTACTGTACTAAAGCTCTTCCCACAGAGACACTTTTAATTTCCTGTTGTGCTCGGATCAAGACTCACAGTTGGCCTCTAGCAAATGGATATACGGTGTAAAATCTAAGTGAGATACTACCATAACTCTGTTTCAAGTGCTCTGAGACTTATCACTCTTCAATTTTGTTTTCTGTAGACTGGAGGATCCTTTATTCGGTTCAAAAGTAAGCAATAATACAACTGATCAAAACATAACTAAGAAAACTGCTCAGCGGACATCATCATTGTGTAATGACCCAAACCTCATGGACCAAGTATGTTTTACTATAATGAAACTTTATGTCCTGCCAACAGATTCAGTGTTGTACAGTATATTTGTAGTTGCACTGTAAATTGTCTGTTTAGATCTTAAAATGTTAAAAAAATGACACTTCTTAACAAAATAATAGAGCCATAGTATATTTTGACAACCGTTGTGTTTTGGGAAAGAGAAAACATTGTATGGATTACATCTATTATATATTTTTGTACCAGAACGATAATTTATTTGCTTTGTCAGGTTAAAAAGGGACAGTCCCTCTTTGTGAATGCTGTCATTCTGGCAAAACTACAAACTGCAAAGCACTACATTTTTTGGCTCGGCTGACCAAAAGGGAACTTGCATTTTTATTTAAATAACTGGGGCCCCTGTGGTTAAAACACAAAAATATCACCAAACTAGAGGACGAGAAGTGTTCAAATGGAGCTTTAAAGTCTCAAACGCCTGTTCACTTCTGTGAATCTTGTGCACTTTTACAACATTTATGTAGTGTATGTACTATGTATATTTTATTGTATCGATTTATTTCTGCATGTACTGTACACTGGTAAAACAACCAGTACTTGACTGAAAGAGACTTTCTCTAACTGTGTGTCTGATGTAAACTACATTGTTCAAAAATCTGCAAGAAGACCAGACCATCCTGTTCTTGCATGCTTTTTTTTTCTTCTAAGTGGCAATCTGGAATTTTAGATTTTGTATTATGTGGCATAATGATATTTTAATGGACTTTATGAAAACAGCACTGCTGGTGCTACAGTATCATTTAAATGAGCACTGTGTACTTTATTTCCCAAATTCATTCCTTTCTGCAGTGCTTCGTGTAGCATTGCTCTGTCAAAAACTAGATAAATGGTTCATTGCTTTGCCTGAATGGGGCCACGAGTACTATACAGTAAGTATAAATAGGCTTCTAATTCATCCATTTGAACTACTTGAAGTATTACGTTTAATAAATCCTTGAATTACATGACTTGTTGTCATGGCTCGAGCATTTGTTTTATTATATAGGTCCAGCTCATTAAAAGTGTCCCTCGAAACTCACAGGATTTCTTGTTTTATTGTAAAGACAAGTACCAGAAACATAGGTGGGGGGAAAATGTACGGAATCAAAGCAGAAACACCAGAGAGGGAGAAAGGTGCAGAAAAAGAAGAACGTGCTCAGCCATTGAGCCAGCTGTCCTGACATTTGGTGTAGTCACAGATATCGTCTGGTTTGAACCACAGGTTGATCTCAGCGTTGGCACTTTCCGCAGAATCACTGCCGTGAATGATGTTCCTGAAGCCAAAGCAATTCAACATTAGCAAAAACTAGTGCAGGTAAATAAATGAAAGTGACATGCATCCTACTTAGTGGTCGGTAAGATGTTTGTAATGTTTTTGAAGTCTCTTATGCGCACCAAGAGCGCATAAGAGACTTTATTTTAAGTTTATTTGACCGAAAATACAGTGAAAACGTCAATATTGTGAAATAACACCAGTTCAAATTTTCAAATGTATTTTATTCCTGTGATGACTAAGCTGAATTTTCAGCATCATTACAGTCTTCAGTGTCACATGATCTTTCAGAAATAATTCTAATATGATGATTTGGTGCTTAACATTTCTTATATTATCTTTAAAACAAAGTCATCAAAATGACATTTTAGAATACAGTATGAGATCTTACCGGACAACCTGAACGCAAAAGTCACCTCGGATAGTCCCAGGCTTGGAGTCAATGGGATTAGTCTCGCCGAGCATTACTCTACCGGTTTTAATAACGTTAAAACCCTCCCACACCTAAAAATATATCACGGAAATAACATTAGTACAGTCAACTTCATGAAATGTATGAGGAATATTTATGAACAATAAGGGAGAAACATTATTAAATTCAAAGTGCCCTAGAGCCGCACTCTGGGGAAAATAAATATAAATGGGTTTACCATGGCAACCACAGGGCCAGAGGACATATAACTGACAAGCCCAGGGAAGAACGGCCGGTCCTTTAGGTCACCGTAGTGCTGTCTTAGAAGATCCTCATCGGCCTGCATTAAAGACCGCAGCGGAGAAAGTGTTGTGAATTAATGGTCCGTTAATCCCACATCGCCCTTTGGCCTAAAAACGTTTTTTTTTTTATGACTAAATCTTCATTTTGAGGTCATGTTTACTGTAACGAGATAGTCACATGAGGATATATATCTTTGCAGACCACAAAGAACTAATAGTTGGTTTAACCCCTGAAACAAGTGCGTGTCTGAGAGAGTTTAAGTTCCCTCACACTAAAAATAGAGTTTTCTAAAATTATAGATAGGGAAAAATCTAAAATACATAAAGTTTTTAATCTGTTAAGTAATATAATAAAAATGTAACAATCAGAGATTTAAATTAAATTGCAGTTCTAAAACAATTATATAAAAATGATAATATTTTTTAAAACTATAAACTAGAAAATTTACATAATAGAACTTATTTTTGTCAAGTTAGAAATATTTATAACCATGTAATGTATATACAAAGAATAGAGCTTCTTAAATCAAAAATATATCAAGTTTGTATTGCTCTGTTCTTTTAAGTAATATAGAAACCTATATAGTTGTAATATAAATATATATTTTAAATATTCATTAGAAAATATAATATATTTTAAAATCATATATATAATTTATTTTCAGTGGCATTTTTTCTTCATTTTTACTTATATAGCCTACATACATTTTCGTCAAGTAGCATCCTTCCACTAGAAGATACTGAAATAACAGAACGTTGCTATGAGAGCAGGGTAGTGATAATATTTTTTGATAATATATATGATGAACATTTTTTTAAATAATGTAAAAATACAAAAAAAACTAATCTTGCATTTTTGTTACATTCGCATTACAAAATGCATCCACAAATAAAACCGCCATTAAAGGGATAACCCAAAAATGGAAATTATGTAATCATTTAGAGTCTTCTGTTGAAACCGTGTAGTAGTCATAGTCAATAGGTGCCGTCTGGTTACCAACATTCTTTAAAATATCTCTTTTTGTGTTCAACAGAAGAAAGAAATTCATACAGTTTTGGAACAATTTGAGTAGGCCTAAATGATGACAGAATTTACGTTTTTGTGCGAACAATCTCGACGCCCTCTTTAGCACTGTTTGGCTATTAAAAGGCAAATCCAATACAAACTATTGAGATTAAAACGGTTAATTTAATTTACCTGGATTAACTTCATAGCAACTAACTTGAACCCTTTCTGTTCGAAGCGCTTGATGATCTCTCCGACAAGTCCCCTCTGCACTCCATCAGGCTTGATGGCAATGAAAGTGCGCTCTTCGTTTCCAGACATTGGGCTAAAATTAAAAAAATAAATAAACACCGGTAAAACATACACGAAAAACAGCTGCTGACAGAACTGCATTCAAACTTACGTCGTCCCACATGGGGGTTTCGTTGAGGAAACCCCTGATCCCATCACTAAGTTACATTTCAAGTGACGGGGGAAGATCTTCTGTCCTGTATTGACGGCTTACTGTAACTGGCTGCTTAAACCGTGACTAGTGATCTGATCTGATCGCTGTCCTCAAGCATCCTGCTTCCTGACCCCAGCACGTTAATCACCTTTTCATGTTAACAAACTTTATTTAGCCAAATCTATTCTAAAATAAAAGGCGTTTTTTTTTCATTCAAATTTTCATTTAAACGGACACCTCTATGAAACGATATTTGGTAAACTGTGGTGTTCATTGTTCTTTAACAAATCTATAATAAACTAAAGTAGCAACCGATATGCGCATGTGCAGCAGCATGACATATTTCATTTGTAAGATTTAACTTTTGTCGAATTAACACGACAATAAAACACAGTGAAAATATTTTCCTTACTTTCTTTGACGACAGTCCACGAGTCTGAAGTTCCTCGCGCTCGTGCTTTCACTAATCCATGATGATCTGCAGTGAGTGTTTTATGGAGGTGGGCGGAGACCGATTCCAGTGCTCGCGCATTCAGTGATTTTTAATCTGTTGCAATTTACGATGGAATCCAAATGATACGCAAAACATATAACTCCTTAACAAATCTTGCTTGGCTTGTTGTCACATTTTTTTTTACTCCAGCGATGAATATTTCTCAGATTAGGTTTATTACATCAATAGTTTTTACATTTACAGGCATTCTTTTTAAAACAATAATTAAATAAATAATTATTATAATTATTTTTAAATGATTATCATGACAATAATAACTTTTTACATTTTAATAATTTAAAATTATTTTAATAATAATTTTAAACATTTTAATATTTCCCAAAAAATAATATAAAGGCCTATATTAATTTACATTTAAATGAATATTTTAATGAATTTTAATAAAAGTACATTTAATTTAATTAAAATTTGAATAAAATGTTAGATTTATTACAATGTACTGTTTCTCTATTTGATTTCTCTTATACATTTTCCCCTTCTGTTTTGTTTGTATTCCCTCCCCCATAAGAGTACGATTCTGTCCCCGTTTATAAATGCATTAATAATATAAAAGATTCAGTTATTCAATGAATGTTTCATGTTTTTTTGTAGTGTAAATTTAGTCTCATGTTAACACTATTTTTAATGGAGCTACAGTAATTCTAACTGAATATCGAAATGTATTATGCAATCACTGAAAAGCACATTAGAGCATCAGAAAATATCTGATATCTGAAAGTGCATATAAAGCAATTTAACCTCTGGGCACTAATTTAACAGCTCCAGTTAAGCCACAACATTTTAATGTATATACTGCACATGGCCATTATCTCCATTTGTAGAACATATATCCATGGTGGAAGTTAGATGGTGTAAGATTTGGGACCCATTAGACCATCTGTGCAGTTAAGAATTATGCATTAAATCTCTGCTCAGATTCAGCAGCATCCTCAGTGAATCACTGCACTGCAGTAATGTCAGTTACTTATACTTCCACATACTCTTTTACACAGTTCCATTAAATGAAGTTTTATGCATCAGTGTCAGTGTCTAATACATGCACAGTGTAGTGGCACTTTTGGCTGTTGTTTTTTATATCACTATTAATTGACCATTTTGAAAACTTGTGAAGGCATGCAAGGCAGTTCAATTTCAGCTTTGTACAAAAGAGCCTGGAGTTGTAGGTCTCAGTCCTATTAAATAGGCCTGAAGTTCACCGCACTGACAATAAAATGAAAAGAGTGTGGAAAAGAGTGTTCATTGCTCATAAGTGTACACTGAAAAAAGTAAAACAACCACATTTATATAAGTGCATTATTATATTGGTCTAATCGAAAACCATGGTGTCTGGTTTAAACCCGTTTTTGTTCAGTTTGTCTAAAAGCAAATAATACTCCCAACAGAAAAATGAACACCAGACACCAGAATACTGATGTGATGTAGCCTATATTTTTTAAAAAGGCATCACAATAAGCAATAAGTTATTTTGAAGTTGTCTTTATTTATAGAAAGTAAACTAAATTAAACATTTACTATAGTTTTTTAGTTTTATCTTAATTGGACATTCTACTTTCATAGTTAATTTAGCTTTTGCTTAATCTGGAGAAATTTTGTAAAACTAAAAAGCCCAAAAATGTTTTGGTGGGCTTATGTCAAAATAAATTTATATTGATTAAGTATGGGCTTTACAATAGTATTTCGGTAACACTTTACAATAAGGTTCATTAGTTAACATTAGTTCATGTATTAACTAACATGAACTAACCATATAGGCAATACATTTGTTGCTGTATTGTTAATCGTTGTTAACGTAGTTAATAAAAATACAGCTGTTCATTGTTTGTTCATGTTAGTTCACAGTGCATTAACTAATGTTAACAAGATTGAAATAAAGTATGTTAATTTTTTTTTAAATTAACATTAATATTAATGCTGTATAAGTGCAGTTCATTATCATGCTAACTAATGTAGTTATCTAATGTTAACTAATGAATCTTATTGTAAAGTGTTACCAACATTTCTTGCTTTGCGTGAATTATTTTGTTTGGGATTTAAAAAAAATTTGATTCATATTAAATAAAAATTTGATATGAACTAATACATTTGGCTGTAACAAATTATTATTAAAAAAAATCAGTGTACATGTATGCAGTCAAATACACATAATGAAAAAAAAAAAACAAAGAAGTAAAAACACAAAGGTTTATCTGTAGCATTAATCAACAACACAGTGCAACTTTTATATAAATACAACCCTACCAAAGATTTGGTGTACTCAGTCTTTTATCCATTTCAGATATGACCATGACATGACAAGAACGATTGCTGCTAAGATCTGTCCAGTTTTGGCAATAATTCATGTTTGCATTCTCAACCCATTATTCCTATTTGCAGTCAATGCAGTTTTTGGCAACAGAGGGATTTATGATGCTGACCCTGAGAAAAAGACAAGAAACAAACAACTCATGCCCTCAGCAACCTCAGTACCCAAATCATGTTACTGACCACAGATTTTTTAGCAAATGTTGGGCCTTCACAAGTATGTGTTATGACAACACAACCTGACATGTATAATGAGTGATTTAAAGGTGCAGACGCAGTCACATTTACCATTGTTCGACTAATTTTCACAGGCAAATTCCAGTCATTTCAATAGGAATCCACACAACTGGAAATTTTTGCCTAATCTGAGCACACCTTAACACATATTTGAACATGCGGTCTTCTAGTTCATCATGACATGTGCGTAGAATAAGAGCCACTAACTAAAGGGACATGATGGCCAGGGCTCTTATTTCCACAAATCCTTCCTTCTAACAGAATATGTACTTATCTGACTAAATGGATAAATAATCCTCCTCTAATCTCTCCAACAGTACTAGATGGTTTGTATTCCATGCTCTATTTTTACCAGGGCTTAAAGTATAAGGATTAGATGAGGTAGCTGCCAAGTGGTAGTCTGAAGTACTGCCTCCTTAACTTTGATTTAAGTCACTCTAGATCTTGTCCTTTCTCCTTCAACAGAAATGTTGCCCCCTTTTCAGGTTTAACTGCTTAATACACATCGCTTGCCTAAATAAGTATCTTGGTATTTATTTGTTAGGATACCTGATTAATGTGGCAGAATGTCAGCCAATCAGCACAAATACATTATGCAATGCTCATTGAGGTCTAACAGCTCTGGGGAGAAACTGCAGGAAATATTAGCAAGTAAAAAAGTCTATTGTGAATTACACTATCTTTTCCATTTGCTTATAATTACATTTGTACACTGGCAGCTTTATTCAGGTCACCTCATGTAATTGTAAATCACTGTGATTTTTTTGGTGCTCTAATTTTCCGCATCATTTATTTGTCTGCGTTGTAGGAAGCAGAGTGCACAGAACCAATAATAAGCAGGTATTCTTAGTGTTTGATTTCCTTTCATTAGAGACTTCATTAAATTATTATAGTACTCAGATGAGGTCTGCTCCAAAGTTAGAGGACAAACCAGAAAGTAAATGCTTGCTGTTCTTGCTGGCTAGAAACTTTAGTATGACAAAATTCATATGACATCCACTTAGTTCCCTTTCGAGGAACTTCTATGCTGCGTCAGCTGCTGACGCTATGGGGGACATGCCCTTGCAGAACCCGGTGTCTGATACAATGGCCATTGCAGTGCGATGACGTCGCAAGATGCACCCCAGCGTATAAGAAGGCCGCCTGAGAACACGTCATCAGCTTCTTTGTCTTCAGGAAGTGCTGTGTGAAGACAGCAGTATGTGTAGAAAGGATAGAAGGTAGGCAGAATAATGGCAAGCAGACAATTCAAGCGTTGTGTTCCTCCTTGCCCGCGGCGTTTCTAAACGCCTGGCTATAGTCACGAGCTGTGTGTTATTTGACTGGGAGCGGAGGATACACATTAAGCCCTCGAGGGGGCTTGATGCATACATTGCGATAATTTCTTACTGAGAAAACTCCGCTCCCAGCTGACTTTATGAGTAAAGAGTCAAGTCGCTGAGCCTGACGGCTCAAGCGCAGCATTTGCTGAGGCAGCGCACAGGCTACAATAGTGAGAATCTCAGACGGAGCAGGTAGAGGAGCGTGATGGAGTTCCCCTCACCTCTCTCATCGGCTCCATTGTCTATGTGCCAGAAGTGGAGGCCTGCTCAGCTGTTTCTTTCACAGAAAGCGAGGACTCATTGCTCGTCTGTGATTCTGATATAATAGACGTGGTGTCTGTAGAAATGGATTTATTTAATAGATCTGTTTCCTGCTCGATACAGCAAACCGCTGAATTACAATGAGCTAGTGAAACGTATGACTCATATCACAGTCTGAGTTTGAACTGGTCCGGCTCAAAGCGTTAGAATACGGAAGGTCGTTTAGATGAACAATATCTGCGGAGTCATAAGTGTGCAGCTACACTGAGCCTTCCCTTTCTCCCAGACCTGCACAACTAAGTTTCAGGTGCGTAGAGACATCTATACTCTACCTAGATGGTCCATTCTGCTTCGAGCAATTTGAATCTAGAGGGGCTAAGCGAGAAGGATTATGGGTGGATGCCTCGGGTGGAAAGGATTTTAGCGAATTACCTTTCCCCGGAGACCTCCTCATCACTGAATGCTCCTTATTTGCCCTCTAAACCATGTCTGACGGCATTGAGGTTGGTGGGCAGAGCGTATGTGGAGGCTGGGCAGACTGGTGGAGCTCTGCAGTGGAAGTACTGCAAACTTACCAGGCAGACCTGCACAAACCTGGATCAGGGGGAGGGTTTATCTCCTGAGGTAGTCACTAAACTGGGTATAGCCACAGATCTAGCTCTCTACGTCTTCAAGAAGGCGGCCCACTCTATTGGCTGGTCCATGGCTGCTATGGTGGCAACAGAGAGACATCTCTGCTTAATTTGTCAGGGATCAAGAAGTCAGATAAAACTGTCCTCTTTGATGCCTCTGTCTCGCCCTCTGGGCTGTTTGGCACTGCTGTTGAGATGGTGGTGGACATGTTTAGAGAGGCGAGAACGCAGT